AAAAACAACAACAACTTAAAATCACTTAGACTTTACATCTGTGAATTAAAATTAAATTGGTTGTTTTCATACTGCCATTTCTCTTGAGTGGAACAGTGAATGAAGCAAGCTTCTGAATTAAAGGTAGTTGTGAGTATTTGTGTAAAATATTGCATCCTTACAACTTACTTTTAAATTAATTCAGGTTTGTATTAAATCAGGAAACTTATTAAGCACGCATAATGGATCTGGCATCTTAGATACTTTGAAAACATACTGAGAAGGAAAACAGCAGCCCCAGGATGTCTAGGGACTGATCTGACACTGAGGCCTCAAGTACTGTTATAGAATCTGGACATAATAATTTCTCAGAACACCAGTAGACAGTGTTATGCTGAGACAATGATAAGATGAGGCAAAACAAGAACATATAATGTTGTCTCAGCACAGACAAAACCAAGGTCGCTGTGGCACACACAAAATACCAAACATTGCCTTCTAGCTGATGTGAGTGACTACTTTACCAGCTGCAGCTTTATCCTCACTCTAGTCTGCCTTCCCTGTAGAATTGCCTCTGCTTTCTGACAGTAGCCAATCTAGAGTGAACCCCTCCTTCCTTGGAGCCTGCCCCCAAATCTATAAGCTCTCTCTCAAACCCTCTCAGAGAGACCCCACAGTCCCCCATAGTGAGCCCTGTGCTTCATTGCAATGAATGTTAAGCCCATTGCATCCCACCATGGGTGTGTTCCTGGTGGTCTTTGGCTAGGAAACATTGACAATCCTAAGAAGGCCCAGCCCCCTGATGTTTTTGGGCACATCAGACTTATGCCCAGATCAATTAGAGAACTATAGTAGTAACAGCCACCATTTATTTGTTGTGCACCAACTTTGTGCCAGTCAGGCCTTTATGTTATTTAAATCTTAACCCTGTAAATTTGGTACTTTTTATTTTCCTCATTTTGCAGATGAATAAACTGAGGGCTAGAGAAACATTCCTAAATGTCTTCCCTTGTACTGCCAGTAATGGGTATAACCAAGTTATGAATCCAGATCGATTCCAGAACACACAAACTATGCTGCCTTCTGTCTTGCATGCAAAACTGCATGTATTGTGTGCTAAAGTAATCCTACATCTCTTCCATTTCAAGTGTTTTGACTTCCAGTAGTCTGCATCATGATTTCTAATTTAAGTAGTTTTCAGTGATGATGAGTTTTAGCTTTACCATATTATTGAGCAAGGCTAATCCACCTTGATAATAAATTTCTACAGATGGCTGCACAAATTTATTTTTTATACATCTGGGTGAGCCTTTCTATGTTTTACTAAAATTAAATATTTTCATGTATGTCTGCATGTCCTTTCTAGAGTTGTATCCAATATAGATCTGTTTTCAAGATGTCTCTTGGAGGGGGCAGCAGTCAGTAAAAATCACAACTGCAAGATGATGTGATTATGATTACTTAGAGAACTAGGCATGCTGTATTTTTATATGGACTTTAAAATCTACTTTTATTAGTCAGATATATACCTCAAGGCAAGCTCTTTAATTTTCCTGAGGTTTAGCAATCTTGTGTACCAGCGGGGACCATAACACTAACCCCATGGGGTTCTTACAACATGCGAAAGTACCAGACACACTGTAGATGTTTAGCAATGTATACCCACCTCCCCATAGTATACTTCCCAGGGTACTTACCACTTCCTTGCTCTCACTATAGTATATTTTTGTTTTGGTTTAGTTTTTTGGTTTTGGGGGCTTTTTTTTGGGGGGGGGCACTTTTTTAATTCAAGTTAGTTAACCTACAGTGTAGGCTTGGCTTCAGGAGTAGAACCCAGTGATTCATCTCTTACATCCCAAAAAGTGCCCTCCTTAATGGCCATCACCCATTTAACCCATCCCCCCACCAACCACGCCTCCAGCAACCCTCAGTTTGTTCTCTGTGTTTGAGTCTCTTACGGTTTGCCTCCCTCACTGTTTTTATCTTGTTGTACCTTCCCTTCCCCTGTGTTCATCTGTTGAGTTTCTCAGATTCCATACATGTCTCACTATAGTATATTACTATCCAGAAATAAAACAAAAATAACACTAAGAAAGAAGTAAAATCCCATTGGCATTCAATTATTTCTGTATCAAAGAGAAGCTTCTGTTAAGGATCATAGAAAGTATTTGCCTTAAAGACCTAATTTAATCACATATCAATTGTTATTTATTCAAGGGATATAATTTATTATACTACTTCTTTATCCTCAGTCTGCATCTCCGTCAGGATAATTTTCTG